TATATACTATATAGATTAATACTTTAGATAGATATTTTATTTTTCCATTATACAGTTACAGTTTTGATAAAATATAAAGATACAATTCATATGGAAGGAAGACTAACAAGCCCGTCAGGGCTTTTCTAGTAGTCCACATAGGCGTACGGGGCCGCTAAATTCTGGGGGGGGCGGTAGCTTTTTTGCCCAAAAAATTCCACATTGCCCAAAAAATGTCAAAAAAATTTTTCCGGAAAAATTATTTTGGCGATTTCGGTCAGTGTACCATTTTAGGGGTCAACATAACACAAATTTTCCAAAAATCACAAAATTTGCCAAAAAATTTACTTAATTTTATACAAAATTGACAGAATTTGTCCCATTTTTTTTAATTGCAAACCAAAATTGCCCAAAAATTTGCCCAATCTGCCCAAAAAACTGGGATATTGCCCAACTGCCCAAAAAACTGGGGGGGCTACCGCCCCCCCCCCGCCCCGTACGCCTATGTTCAGCAGTCTTCGTATATATTAATGGTCCTCGGTTGTCTTAATAGTTCATTCAATATACAGATCGTATAGTGAGACCGTGAATTTACGAAAATGTATAGATAAGTTACTGAGATACCAGTGAATTTTGATTTGAATTTTCTAATTTCATGAACAATTTTTGTCTCCCAGCTGGAAGCCTTTGAAATTTGCCGATGTTTGTATTCTTATCAGATATAGAGTACAAACTTCCTCCATGGTACCATGTTCACCGGAATGATACACTTGAAACATGTCAATTATATATTTTTCCTATAATCAATCCCACACAACCTCATATGAAGCGCACAATTCACAAAGACAGTAAGGATACAGTTTGAACAATTTTTGGGTAATTTTGTCCAGGATTGAAAGATTTCCCGGCAGCAAAAAAGGTCTTCGTCTACTAATACAAGGTATAATCTTATACTATAGTAATATGTATTACTGTTATGGTTGGCTGCGCATGACGCTATTAAAATTGAATACTTCCAACAACTTAACAAGTACATTGAGTTCAACAACCTTAATTGTAGCAAGTTGTCACCATGGATAGTTAAAAGAATGGATAGTTAAAAGAATGGATAGGAAACAGGTGACGCGAGCAGATGTAACTTAGTCATAGATTAAGTATGTTATTAAGTATGTTAACCTAGTTGAAATTCGTGGTCAAGAATTCAACAAATTTAACAACGTTTTTTTCATTCAAGTAGCTATATTGAGATTCAAAATGGTTTCATTGACTTTTAAACCTGCCTGTGCCACGGCAAAGTATTCGAGGTAAATGCAAGAAAAACGTCAGAAAAAAATCATGCGTGAGCGAAGCTTCCTATTTCCTATCTATGGTCTATTAATTAACCCGGCATGTTATCACTAAGTCGTTGTAATCAAATTAGATTGCAAGCATCTAGATAATATAAATAGTTGGCTTTTCAAAAGACGTGACGTAAGGAATGAAAATGTTTACAATTTTCGAAGTGTCTATTGTTTTGTGTTTCATTAAATAAGGTACTTATATTTCAACATCAGGTTTCTGCTTCAGATCTACAAGGTACTTGTAGACATGCAGTAGATCGTATAGATCCTTCATAAAAGTTGATACGATAAATGATAATAGACCAATAGACCCATTGCACATGACGTCACAGCGCCGGTGACGATGCATCTGGAGGACAAATTAGCAATCTATGCATAATATAACTTTTGTAAACAAAGCAAATTTTGTAAAACTTTATAATAATTTTGTATTAAAATGGTTAATTTTTGCGCTGTATGTGGTTGTTGTACCCGAACAGATATTGTTAGGGAGCATCTGTAGGACACTCTAAGGATTTGTGACGTCAGTGCAATGGGTCTATAGCCATTGTGTGTATCTTACTATCTTACTTTATCTTCTGATAAAGTGTATCTTCTGATATTTAAGTATACTACAGTTGACCTTACGCAATCCGAATGAAAGATCATATTACAGAAGGGTATTTGGGTATTATAATACATACATACAATATTTCCACTTTCTTCTGCCAATATTGGTTATATTGAGCGAAATTTTCAGTGAAATATGTAGTGAAATAAACTTGAATTTCGTGGAAATACAAATTTCAAATATCGTGGAAATACAAATTTTCCGATCTAATCACACGTTTTTTTGTTGCTCTCTTTGCATGAATTTTACCCTGAAATCGCAGGAAATGGCCATTCCAAACTTCAAAAATCAAACCCCCGAAACCCCCTAACCTGTGCGCTTCTTAGAACAGGACTAGTCAATTGGTCATGATACTAACAATTATATCAATTCTACATTGATCAAATTTGGGGGCCACCCTTACACAACTTATAATTTTCGCTATTGAAAAGTCTCTGCACGAACTTTTTTTTTAAACTTTTTTCGTGCTCGAATTTTTTTTCTGTTTCCCCTGCTCGATTTTTATTTTTGCTTTTGCTCCCAACCACCCCC